GAGTGTCGTATCGCGTTGACCTATGTCGTAACGACTTGACCTGAGATTCTAACGATTTGATTGGATAACCGATGACCTCTCAGTTAGGTCACGTTGTGACGGAACTACTTGTTCATTCATAACAAACACGTGAATTCATTCATTCTACAACTTAGATGCATTGTGGAAATGTAAACATTGCGAACGTTGCCGTGTCGCTGTTTAATTGTGAGTCGAACTGAGACATTATATGCGTCGAAAAACATAAACGCAATGTTTCCACCAGTGATGTTAGCCGAGTGAAGCAGTTGCAAACCAAGAAACGGGGTGCTACGGAGTGGTTTACTGTAGGGGGCTGTACGAGAGGCGATGACAACTGACATGCATCGTGACGGCGGTTACCAAGGGTACAGACGAGAAATGGCGTAGTGACGTCAATACAGTGTGACGTCATGCAAAAGTGTACGTCAGAACAAAATTCTTCCGCAACCTCTTTATGAAACCGCTTTCGCTCGGTCAGATACCATAGGAAGGACACTCGTTTCGTATAATTCGTATGTAATGAGACCGAGTGTAGTATTCTCTATTTATCCTGCCTCAATTATATCTCTCCGATGCCATCTTGGTGTATATGTGTATGGTATCTTAGACCATGGTTACCCCTCTCGCGAGCACATTTTGTCATCACAGAATTTCAGTGATCTATTATTATAATGTTCAAAGCTATCCCCCATTTACACCAAACGGAATTTGTTTCTGACGCTCAACATTCTTTGGCACTGACGTTCTATATTTGTAGGAGTAGAGTTGGAATAACCAAATTCCTGTTAGTAATTGTAATTACTTTAAGACATACAGCCATATAACGCCATATACAATCCCAACACACTCGATGTGTCGCGTTGGACGCGTTGATTAGTTCCGTTTATCGCTGATCCTTTATCCATGTCCCATTGTATGTACATCCCCCAAGGTAAATGGTTGCACAATTCAAACATGATTAAAAACATTTTTGTCCCCTCAGTAAATATGTATCAGTTTCGCATAACACGTTAGCCACATTCAACAAAGCCTCGGGGCATGGCGGAACAAAAGAATCATGTACACTTCAGAAAAGTGTAAACTGAGATAAAACAATGTTTGAGTAAAATATGCTTCCTAACCAGAGATGCTTTTGTTACTTGAAAGTAGCCGAAGTAACGATTAATATGTATGTTTCGTGTGTAGAAGTAAGTTTATTCATAAATATACTTAAACATACATTCTATGTCTCAAGAAATCCACACCTCTCCGTTGTTCCATTGATCATGTTTAGGGCGAAGGCGGTGAATGTGCTGGGTTTGGATAACACTATAAACTGTATTTCCGATATAAAGTGACGGGTCACCTTAATGTGTAAATCCGAAGTTTTGGGGTTTTTTTTGTAAGTTCTAGATGCATCTATATCTCTTGACTAACGCCTAGTCTACGAACTATTGATCTGGAACTGATGTCTGATGTGTGTCATCTACGCTGGTTACTGAGAAATTCAATGCAGATGGTCCTGGGTAACATCCAGTTCATCCTCTAACGTCTTTTGAGTCGGGGGCGGTGGGGTAGCCTTGTTGCTAAAGCGTTCGCTCGTCACACCAGACGCCGAGGTTCGATTCCCCACATTGGTACAATGTGTGAATCCCATTTCGGGGGTCCCCCGCCGTGATATTGCTGCAACAGTGCTAAAAATGATGTGTACAGTTTAGTTTCACTACAATACACACACTAATAGTCTTCTGAAAAGGTGTTATAAGCCTGCAGGCCAAATAAGCTCCAGGCTAAACAATAGCATCAAGTAACTCCAAGCAACAACATGAAGTAACACCCACACTACTTGTTTAACAGGTGCTGATTAGGAATAATATGTTTGTGGATTATCAAACTGACGGCAACAACCAACCCGGTTTGGTTACTACTTGTCACGCAGATCGTCAGTACATAAATACTCAGTTACCGATAGAAGGCCATGAAAACGTCTCCATTTAGTCCCAGCTAAAACAGGTCTTACAGCTTCAATCGCTGTCAGCGGTATTCTAAAACCCAACAACTGAACTGTTGGCTGTTTAATTGACTCGAATCACAAAAACATCACGTTAATGTTATAACCAAGGTGGTTACTCATAACAAGAACGAGAACGGAATAAAACAGAAATTTTCACCTACCCACAATTTTAAAAAGTAAGCCACCCCTTCTCGATTTATAAAAGGCCAAAAATACCGACAGGTCTGCCAAACCTGCCTTGCGTATAAACGCGAATGAATTTATGGGCATCAACCTCTTTATCACGAGGAACAAATCTTTTCGTAGCTTACACCATAATAAGATGACAGTCTTTCCCTCAAGTGTGTCCGTTGTGATTTCCATTCAAAGACCTTACTTTCTTTTACACACGTAACAATCCGTAACAATCGTCCAGCAATTACGGGTACGGTCAGGCAACGGGTATAACGAGCTGAAACCGGTCCATGTGTATCTAAATTTAGGGTTGGGGATAAGCCACCTTCTCAACCATTTGAACAATAGTGGACCGGGTCGTAACAAGAACACAGAGAGGGATGCTCGCTGGAAGGTACACTGACATGGCCAACTTAGGATTTGTCGTACTGGTGGGAATGTTTGGTAAGTGAAAGGCTGTTCTGGAGGTACACACAATATCGTAGCGTTATACCACGGTCCTCAATGTTAGAAATGTATGTAAAGACACAACTTCTTGTGTATTCTATGTGTTTGCAATATTTCAGTTCCAAGTATAACATGTTAATGGTTTTAAATTGGTTCGAAAGGCAATGTTTACAACTACTTGCAAGGTCCTTCAGGATCATGGCATATAAGATATTTGGCATATCACTATACTTCTATCCGTTTGAAGTATGTACACGCATAATGTATTTGCATTACTAATACTATGACTGGAAAGACAACGGATATATGCCACATTTTATGTCAAACATTTTAGATATGGTCATTTTAATATCCAGATGAAGCAATCAGTAGATATGACCACATTTACGTCACTGCCTTGTTCTCATTCCATGGAACATGAAACAAGAGACAAAGGTCAGGACATAGAGAATCTCACCCTCGTGTCTTTTGACATCAAATATATCACTACGAGTTGACCAAAGTAAGTTTTCTCACTTTTATTAACGAGTGGTGATATATTTGATATCAAAAGACACGAGGGTGAGATTCTAGTTATCATCCAGTTAAAAACAAAACGTCACATGTAACAAGTTCATTTGAAGAGTTGCGCTTGAATACATCCAAGTGTACAAGAGTGATAACGAGTGTCACCATTACGTCATAAAAACAAGCACATAAAAAGGTAGTGCTAAGACTTATTGCTTTAAATTCTGCAATGCGTGAGTTTCACCATTTCAAGGTGGCATTTTAAATAAACTTTTATGTCGTTAGAACAAATCAGTAGTCCGAAAATATTGGCCAGTCAGTAATAAGCACAAAACTTACCAAAACGATATCTCCTAGGAGATATCCCTTGATCTTCTACGAGCGATATCTCCTCTGGTCAACCAGTAATGGATGATAAAATTCTTAAATACCGTGATATGCCTTGATGCTATGATGAAGAGACGGTCATCGAAGCCACTATAAACCGCTGAGCAAAGATACACAAATGTTTATCACTTGTGAGTGTGATCTCTGTTCGGTTTGTTTCTGTAAGCATGTGTTGCTAACATCGCACAGTAAGTAATGAGGTCGGGATGAAGATGGGGTAAGCAGCAGATCTGCATAGATGGATAGATATATTGTTTTCAATAGTCAGTGGTATTTCGTAACCGTCAGTCATGAAACAGGAGACAAAGGTCAGGACAATGTCTTAAATACCGTGGTATGACTTGCTGCTACGATTAAACATTAGTGCTTTAATGAACACCTGACAGCTAAGTATATATTAGGTCCGGTTATATTCAGACGCTTAGTGTTTGAGGATCATGCTCCCAATACATCCGCAAACATCGAGATGGTGCCCGTGCATTAACGTGTAGGCACAAATTGTTAATCTTGACCATGAAGTTGAGGACATGTCCTCAGGAAATATTGAAAATATTATCAATAGAGAGAGAGGGGGTGGGGGTGGGGAGAGAGAGAGAGAGAGAGAGAGAGAGAGAGAGAGAGAGAGAGAGAGAGAGAGAGGGAGAGAGAGAGAGAGAGAGAGAGAGAGAAATCAGTCCGAAGATTATTGATACATGAATTCTTTAGTTTTCATCCATTCATAGTTGACAATTGATATGTACAGAAATATAATCAAACATTCACAAAGGCATACTCAATACAAACTCAAGATATGGTTACAAATGATAGACATATTTTACAAAGTTTATAATGACAACATGATATGTGTCCCGCACTAGGGATCGTGTGAACTGTGTATCTGCACCTTGGAGAGGTGACAGCATTTTGTCGTCTTCCAACATTTCAAAATTTACATAGGTTTCAACATCAAGTAGATCAATCAGAGATGAGAAAAAGTTATTTCGGAGAGGTAATACTTTTTCACAGTGTAGTATCACATGGTTGTCATAATCATAAGCGTGCTTGCTACAAATCAAACATTCTGTTGAGATTTTATTTTGTGATGAAATTTTCAAACATAATTGCAAGGCTGCTCTGTGTTCAGGGTATAAAAATGCTAAGTTCAAAAGTATGTGATATGTCAGTGATGTGTGAGCTCGCATGTAACGATACAGTCCTGCATTAAGTGATACTTTGTTACGCCACATGTGTTCGTCATATTCTTGTACGTGTCTGTTTATAATTCGTCTCCACTGGTGTTTGGGGGGATATGAACCACTGTATATAAGTAGTTTCTAAGGTTGTATTTGCACAAAACAGACTGAAGATCTCCACAAATAGATGATTTTCGGGGCGTATTAGCCATGGAAGCTCAGAATATGTGTTTTATGAGAAACTAGTGTTGCATAAAGAGCCAAAGAACTGGAGTTAACTTTTAGCAATGTAGCCAATCATGGTCCACAATCCTAAGTTTGCAATAGTGGAGATCTCTTATCTAGTGCCTGGACAGTGCGGGCAAAGTACCGCTGTGTGTTTTCTCGCAAACAAAGTTGCTGCCCTTTAATGTCAAACAATAGTTCACAGCCATAAAAACTGGTTTTCAGAATCATTGGATTCCATTTCTATGAAGAAACGGAAACGAAGCATATGCTTGGAATTTTACCTTTTCACTAAATGGAATCTGGGTTGGAGGGGAGGGGCTGCACAATCGTGAGTGTTCAGATACTACACAAGTAAGAGGCCTGTAACTGGAATGTGTGGTCAGGCTCGCTGACATTGCACTGCTCATGATGTCAATCACTGGGCAGCTTGTCAATCAGAGTATAGGCTATTTTCGGATATATAAAGGGATTGTTCTTCTGCATGGGTATCTTACTGATTTGGGACAACCGAGCGAACCAAGGCTAGTTTACTGATTCCGGACAAACAAACGAACCAGGACTACTTTACTGATTTCGGACAAACGAACGAACCAGGACTACTTTACTGACTTCGGACAAACAAACGAACCAGGACTACTTTACTGACTTCGGACAAACAAACGAACCAGGACTACTTTACTGATTTCGGACAAACAAACGAACCAGGACTACTTTACTGACTTCGGACAAACAAACGAACCAGGACTACTTTACTGACTTCGGACAAACGAACGAACCTTGCAGATTTCTGACAAACGAACGAACCAGGGCTACCTGACTGATTGCATGCCCCCGATAATGTGCACAGAGCATGAAATGACCTTTCCACAGCAACATGTATGCTCAATATACGTCAATATATATTTTTGCTTGCAGTAACAGGTTCCTGTATTAACCAGAAAGCACTTATTGACAAAGTGTTCAACCATTACGACAGCAGCGTACGGCCAATATGTGGCCCTGATGTCCCTGTTGAAGTTAAAATTGGAATCGCTATCAGACAGGTCATTGAACTGGTTAGTACATCACTAGATTATATCGTGCAGAGTAAGGATTCATTATTTCGTACAAATTACAATTGATTTCCGTGGTTACAAATACATGACTATATTGTTGTTGTTTTCAAACGAAAAAAGAGATATTTCCTCTTGTTCAAATTACTGTTCTTCCGGGCCCTCAACACATTTTATTCATCTGTGACAAGTTCAATGGGCACATGTTGATGAGGTACTATTAACATTGACTGATGTAATAATGAACTCGTATCAAGCCAATACTTTACATGCGATGTCCCCAAACATAAACACGAGTATCAGTCATCTGGAATGTACCAAGTTCTTGAAAGGCATTTAGAAGTTGTACGAACATGTATACATGACACGTTTTTTATGGATGACAACTTCTTTTTATTCTTTATACGACGTTTCAGAGCTAATTCTTGCCAATTCATCAGGCGAATTTACATTCTACGACCTTGCTTTTGTGTGAACATGTTTTATATGTATAGATATACATCTGTCACTCTGTGAGTCAGCATTCACCAGGAATTAGCTCGGAAACGTCGTATAAAGAATAAACAAGGTTGTTATCCATTAAAACGTGTCATGCATTCATGGATTGTACCAGTCAAAGGGAACCAGCAGACCACAATGCAGGGTCCAAGTCTGGTCACCATTCCACGGTCGTTGTACACTCTGCGATTGTCTTGAATGCCATGACGTCATTGTATTACTCTTGTGGTGCCTCTATGTCTCTTCCATTCTAGGATGAACCCAACCAAATACTGACTATCAACGCCTGGATTCGACTGGTAGGTACCTCCCGTTTTGTGCATAATCACTCTAGTAATATGAGTACTAGGGGCGTGTCCGAAACCAGATAAATATCACAATGATTGCATTGTAAGCTGATCAACGTGTATTCAAGTTACTGAATAACTGCTTGATGTTATAAAATGAAATATGTGACAAATATGCACTTTAACACGTCTTCTAGCATACATGAGTGTATGTACGTTGCCCATGTACGTTGAATATGCAATGTGCTTGTGTGATCTCATATTAATCATTATATTGTCCAATTTTCCATGAGGTAGTGAAAACAAGGAAGGAAGCTGCGGTACCTATACAAGATGTTAATCTATTGATACGTAACCGGACCCACTGTATTTGCTTAAAGTAAAACTGTACATTTGAAAACAAGCACAAACTTTTAGTTACTTGCGCAGAGGTACACATGAAGAAATTGAATAACCGAACAATAAAGAAATGTTATTTTCAAATAACAATTAGTAATGTACCTTTAAGCAGGTTAGGAAAACGAATATTTTTACATATCTTTTGCTGAAGTCAAGGGTTCGATTCCCCACATGGGTACAATGTGTGAAGCCCGTTTCTGGTGTCCCTCGCCGTGATATTGCTGGAGTATTGCTAAAATCGGCATAAAACCATACTCACTCACTCACTGTTGGTCGAATGCAGGAATCATGTATTCAAGAACGCTACTGCACTTAATAATGCAAGGATGCGAAACATCTCGGTTAACAAACAAACAAACAAAAGGGACAAGAGTAATAATACATTGCATAACCTAAACAAACTAGCCTAAACACCAGCTTGAATGACAAATTTAAGCAAACTCTTAACGGCTCGAATTCTTCGCGAGACCTTAGTACTCCCGGGGACAACCAGCGTTCACTTGGTCCGGTTTAGTAAAGTCATATTTGGCGGTCGCGATTTGGAACCAGACCGGGTCCTTGAATATACGCTTGTCACCGGAAATCTGTTACCGGAAGCTAGCAGGGCCCCGTCTCGCACATCCCACGTTGGCGCGCGCAAAGGGAGCCGGAAATAGCGCCTCGCGAGACTTACAGGCCCTATTATTCCAGATTCTTCCAACCTGACATGTAACTTATGGAATGTCCTGTATAACAGCCCTGTACACTCTCTGAATGTAAACAGAAGCTGAAAACAAGATCTAACAATAACATACATTTTGACCTATCACGTATGTGTCAGATCGTTCACTGCCGCCTCAGGCTCGGTTATATAGTGACCATTACGCTTGCATGTATAACAGACCCGTATAGGAACGGCCGGTGTGTTCTTGCGGGTATGACATCGTTAACGCTTTCCCTCTTTCTTTATTCGAGTATGAAAATTTTGCAATCAAATCACAACCATTCAAACCTTTGAATAACAAATTAATTTGCATTTCTATAAGAAACATATCAACAATCTTCACATCGCCCTCAATTCCATTAACATTTGAGACACACCAAACTGAAGCTGACCAATTACTTTTATAAGTGTTCTTTTGATAGATTTGGATTCAAATACTAATGCACATCACACTTGCTGGTTGTCATCACACTTGTGTGTTTCCGTTTAACATGCAGGTATTACAAAGTTTAATACTGTATATTATGTATTGATCTTAGCGCTTGTATCATACACTGTGTTGTACGCGAGCGGTTTTAACAAATTGTAACAGCTTGTTCACCAATCCCCATTCATTTATTTTACAAAAATATGTTTAAATCAAGAATACACCATATTTATGGTTTTGATAACAACCTGTCGAAATCTCTGTGGTATAATATCAAATACAATAATGTGCAGAAATATTAAAACTCATTTTATCAATGCTGAAATGTACAATATTGTCGCTATGAAGTGAAAGATTTGCCAAGCTATGAAATACTTTAATATACTTTATGCTAAGGTGTCGGAAGGATTAAATCTTGTAAAATTATATATATCCTACCTAAGGCGTACCCAGAGAATACGAGCTACAAGTTATTTTGGCACAAAGGCCTTTGCTGTTTTAAGTCAACTTGATTAGTATTTCAATGTTTAGCTAAGGCCACCAAAGTGTATGTGTTCCTGAGGGTCTGACCAACAGGTTCTTGTCCTATAAACGATTTTTTCCCGTAGCACCAAATGATCTTAGATCCATGAATATCAGATTTGACTTAAATTGAATCACATAACGCCTATTTATAAATCCCTAAACTGGCTTACTGTTGCATCTAATATTGACTTTAAGATCCTCCAAGGAAGTTCTCAAAGGGTATCATGGTCCAAAAAGACTATTGACATAATGACCATGGCCCCTTGACCGCTGTTTGCAACTATATTATTTCATGTATCTGTGCCCAAAATATTAACCAAGAACGAGAATGTTTTACGTCTATAAAAATATATAAAAAGTAGGAATCCGCCAATAGCAACTATGTTACAAACATATATGTTTCCCACATTAAATTAATAAACTGGGTCGGCAAGCAAACCAGAATTATGATTGATGTCATGTTGGTTTTGGTATGTAGAAGTTACTAGAACCAGATATATGTCTCATATCAACACTTAGACCTTTCATTGGCATGAACACATTATATCTCGGAAGTCTCACTTCTTTCACTCATCAATGTCAGTCAAGTATTCAAACATTTAAACTAAATGTACCAGTTTCAACAACACACTTATGGAATGATTGGACAATTTGTAGATTTCAACAATTTCCAACATTACAGTGCATATTTTATGTATTCAGACTTCGTATATGTTTGCAGCTGTGCTTTGTTCGATACGGCAAAAATAAGAAAAATAAAAAATAAACACTAAAACGCTTAGATGGTAATTTTTAACGCATGTGGAATTATAAGACATTTGGCTTATTGTGATAATATCAACATAACATCTGCTGCCTGAAACATATTTAGGGTGGCGTCAGGCCTAAAATTCATATAATGCAAGATAGCTGGGTGCGGCGTAAAACTAAACTCACTCACTCATATAATGAGGACGGTCAATTTACCAAGCGCATTAAAGGGAGTTCAGTACTACAAGCGGTTGATCGAACGTGATGTAGTCGCCCCCTTGGAATGTTACGTGTAACGATGGCTAACATATAACATATTACTTTGTAATGTTGACATTACCTTCTCTTACCTCAACGCCCTCTCAACCGTACCGGCGATCGTAGCTTTGGATATATATCGATATATCTTGTAAAACTGTGGTTGTAGTACATTTGGGCAAGACGTAGTCAACTCCAACGGCTCCAACTGTGCTCTCTTCCTTGCTTGACTTTCTGTTCAAATTGGCCAAATCAAAACAAAGGAGTTTGATGATGATTAGCCAATAAACTTCAGGTATCTCGAAGATATGATATTGTGTCAATACAGTGAAATCGACAGTCAGTAGTTCGTGTGAAATGACCAGCTGCTTCTGCTGCTCGCAAATCCCACATCCATATTGCAGTGAGATTCATGTATACTGTAATATTGTAGATTTGTACATCGGGTTAAGGCCGTTTTTGTGTCTTATAGAACTGGTACGACTGTCAAATGACATGGAACGCCACTGAGCATGGGGGCATCTCACAACTTATCCTCCCCTTTGAAAAAGTTTGGACACCGGATATAACGCTATATGACAAGTGAGTAAGCTTTTCATTTTTGAATGGCATTCTTGTTATACATTTTATTCTTTATATTCTTTTCCCTGTGAATATCCTTAGAAAAGGGATGTGATTTGTTCTAGTGTTGAGGTAAGTATGACCAGTTGACTTCCTCCGTTTGAGGCACCTTTCTGGCGTCCCACGCCATGATAGTTCTGGAATATTGCAAAAGTAGCCTACTGACTAATTATACGTTCTGGGTTAAGATAAAGCCTCACCTATTCTCATAACAGGCAATTAAATGGAAATATGTGTTCTGTATATCAACCACTGTTTTGTCTGACCATGTCAATGTCTGGAATATAGTTAACTGTAAAGTTTCAATACAATAAAATTAGTAATCATATTTTACGTAGCAGTTATTAATCGTTTAAGTGGGCAGTAATATCATGATACTATCATATCATCATGCTTGAACATACTCACAATCACTCTCATTATCACCAGTGCCGGGGAAGAACTTGTCGGACTCAAGGACTACCGCCCTGTCATCAACTCAGACGGTTCTGCCTCCTACAACTTCCCAACAATTATTACAAGCCTCTGCAAAGTCGACGTCACTCACTTCCCCTTCGACACTCAAACATGTGAGCTCAAGTTTGGTTCCTGGGCCTACCACGGACTCCAGATCAACTCCACCGCTAGGAGCAGCTCAGGGGACATGTCCAGCTTCAAAGTCAACACCGAGTGGGACCTGGTCAGTGTTCCAATGGAACGACATGTACTGTACTACGGTTGCTGTCCAGAGCCTTACCCTGACGTGACGTTCTACGTCAACCTACGCCGCAAGCCGTTCTTCTACGTAGTCAACCTACTGTTCCCTTGCATACTGATCACAGCTGTGGGCCTACTTGGCTTCCTGTTGCCTCCAGACGCTGGGGAGAAGGTGGCACTGGAGATCACCGTGTTGCTGTCGCTGGCGGTGTTCATGGTGGTCGTGTCTGACACATTACCGCCAACGTCGGAAACATTCCCTTATCTAGGTATTAAATCAAAACCTCTGCTATACGCAGTGCGTCAGTTAGCGTGTACAACAGAGGCAAATAAGAACGAACTGATAACATATTTTCCAAACAGGTGACAATAACAGCAGCAAAAAGTAATTAACCATTATTTAATTAATTACTTAATTAAGGTATGACAGTAAGCAAATGATGATGGCAAAATTTAAATGTGAAATTTTCGCTATGTACAATATTTCAACACCCAGTCAATCATTTGACCACATAAATTATATATGAAGACTACACTATGAGACCACTGTATGCCCTTGACATCCACGGAGACCTACTTGACAAATCATACCAGGTGACCTTTAAGTGACTGACTGAGTTTGGTTTTTCGCTGCTTTTAGCAATATTCCAGCAATATCACGGCGGGGGACACCAGAAATGGGCTTCACTCATTGTACCCATGTGGGGATTCGAACCCGGCGTGACGAGCCAACGCTTTAACCACTAGACTACTCCACCGCCCCGACCTTTAAGTGATATTCACACAATATACCTATTGCAAGACCACTAAACATCCTTTCCCTCCACAGGAATCTACTTCTGTCTGGCTATGATGTTGGTCACCTTCTCCACGGTCCTCACGGTGATCGTGCTAAACGTTCACTTCAAAGGTCAACATGGTATCGGCGTGCCTCGATGGGTGAGGAGTCTGTTTCTCGGGACGTTCGCACGCCTTCTCTGCGTGAGGACAGAAATGCCAGGCCACCCCGACAAGGAGATTACGGTAAGGATGTTTCCAATTCGCTTCATGGTGTATATTTAAGGAGGGTGTGTATATGTTCAGATTTAAAAAAAGCTTATGCATTCTTCATTGTTTCAGAAACTTTTTAAAACGATAAGCCAAAACAACTTAAAGCACAACAACTCTCAAGTCAGTTTAGACCACAACCAGCAGCAGCAGCAGCCATGTGCCTTGAGCAAAGTGATGGAGGAGCAACTGGTGGTCCTGAAGGAGATCAACAGTCGGTACGCCCAGAAGGATGAAGTAGCATCTACTGAGGAGGAATGGAAGAAAGTGGCAATTGTGATGGACAGATTGTTCCTCGTGTTGTTCTTCCTTTTGTCAGTGGGTTGTACTTTGGGGGTCTTGTTACAGTATATGTTGTAAAAGTGGATGCATTAAGCACAATTGTCATCATCAATGAGTGAGATCTGTTTAACGCCGCTTTTACCAGCATCCCGGTTATATCGCGTCAGTCAGCTGTGTGAGGAAAGCCATTCCGAGTCAGTCAGCTGTGTGAGGAAAGCCATTCCGACATGGTGCAGGTCTCAGACGTTTGACACTTAATTGTAAACCAAAAGTCACTGTGTTCTTTAATCTGATTGGTTGAAAAACGTGATCAAATGGTATTCGATTCCCGGAAATTCGCTGCGTATTAATACAAGCAAACATCGCTCACACCATTGTATTGTTACGTCGTCAGGAAAATCATATTGTGACGTAAAGTCCGAATGACGTCACAAATGAGCAGTTCCAGATGCTACCATGGAAAACAGCCGAAACGGCCGGCTGATGATATTTCACTGCTGTACCCGTACTCGATGTCAATGAGTGCAGACACAAAAACGTGTGTGGACCTTTTGGTTTACTTTTGTGTTTACAGTGTCGATAAACATCATGTGTTGGCCAATTTCCGGGTGTTATTGAGTATTTGAAGCACGGTTCCAAATGAATTCCCGTCCTTCAAATACTCAATAACACCCGGAAATTGGCCAACACATGATGTTTATCTCCTAAATGAAACCTACGAGCACAGGCATTGGTCTGATCAACCGAGAAATATGATCCGTGAGACCCTTGGATCATAGGTTCCTGCCATGCCAAAGGAAAGTAACTCTGCTCAGTGAATTGTAGTTTCCGTAGACAGCTTGGCCATCCGTGCCCATATCAGCACTACAAACAGCTTGACATTTCACATATTCACATTTCACGTATTTTTCCCAGATGCTCCATGGCTTGGCTGTGAGTCGATGTCTTTGTTCTAAAAAATGTTTGACAGCTACCAAAGTCTAAGTGTACGTGGCTGGGTGTGGTAACTATCAGATCTTGCCATCATCTGTAACGCCATTCATCATCTCTTCCATCTGTAACGTATGTACAATGAGATGTATCATATAGACACCAACAGTTGCCCCTGGATTAAATTCATCATCTCTTCCATCTGTAACGTATGTACAATGAGATGTATCATATAGACACCAACAGCCGCCCCTGGATTAAATTCATCATCTCTTCCATCTGTAACGTATGTACAATGAGATGTATCATATAGACACCAACAGCTGCCTCTAGATTAAATTCATCATCTCATCGTAACATTATGATTTGTGAGTGAGCGAATGTTGTTTAACGCCGAATCAGAGTTTTACCATATTAATATACACAATTCTAGTGAGTTTAAAAACACTAAAATCTCATTCGGTAGCTCAGAGTTAGCGAGCCTACATGTATTACTGACAATAACAACGGCCTGTCGAACACAAGCGTAACGAAAAAAGACATCGGTAGGATTAAAATCTTCTGTCGACTATAAATATATGAAAACATGGTGTTATGTGGCATTCAGCGTTGACATAGCGTCGGGTACAACTGGAAACAGGTGTACGCATTTTCAGAGGAAGATTATATTATTTGTGTCTCGATGACCGGTACCACAATGGGTGAACAACGGTTGCTGGTACCAACTATAAACTGCAGTAGCATCATCTTAAGAATCAAGTACAAAATGTGTAACTATCTGTAGTTGATGAAAATCCCGTACAAAGACTCTTTATAAAAGGGGCTTAACAAGGAAGCCATGCTTGACATGAAACTAAGGTGGTTGGGTGGTCGCTGACTTGGTTGAAACATGTCGTCGTATTCAAGTTGCGTAGACCGATGCTCATGATGTCAATCACTGGATTGTCTATTACAGACTGCATATTCATAACCCGCCGTTCTATAGCTGGAATACAGCTGACTTTGCCTGCTTGGGTCTCGAATACTGTTCAAAGGGCGTTAACACAACATTCTTACTCACTCTTCGCATCCAGAATGCGTATTGTCAGTCACTGTAAATGTCTATGACTATACAATAAAAGCTATATTTTTTAAAAGAGTTTTTATTCGTGATTGCAATTATAAATCTGGGAGAGCTAGTCAACCAAGTGCCTGGTACCTTGAGCCATAGTGCTGGAACACACTGGCTGCTCTTTCAAAGTTTCCACTGGCCACAGTCAGCACCTAAGCTATATCGCATAGATGAGGAATCTGGACCACGCGTCTCAGTGATATAACCATATACTGGAGTAGAATAACACACAATGCATCACCTCGCTAGATTCAATCTTCAAATGACCGGCTGATAGTTCTCTATGTTCGTATATCCTGTCAGTTGTCCACTACGGGGACCGGTGTATCGAAATTCAAAAGAAAAATGTTTATGAGGACATTCTTACATTATGATAACCTTTTAGAACATTTTCTATCAACTTGAATTTACCATATATCGACTTTTTACCTGAACAAATAGTTTTTGCCCATGAGTGTGATATTTGAATGAGATGTTAAATAAATTATTTCCAACATCCCTTTCATTGTGTTTGTCAACATACTGTTGAAATCGCCACTATTAGCTGCAGAATTTACCTCTGTGACATCTTTAGTCATATTTGAATCACACTGATATCACACTGATATCACACTGCTCACGTATTCTCAATTTATTTTCTAGCTGTGTGTCTGTGTCTGCCAAGTTCAGTTGTTAGTCAATGATGCACACAAAACATACAAAAGCGAATAGCCAGTTTTGATTATTAGATGAAAGCTACATCTGTATTGTGCTCAGACCATTCTAAATATGTGAACATTTAAATCAAACAAGTAGTATTTTGGGGAAATTTTAAAAAGCCCGTAATAAATATATGTAACAAAAGATAAGATAATATTTTATTTAAGTGTCACATGATATGCATATCCAAAAAGTGTCACATAAAAAGTATATCACCCGCCATATGGTGTATGAGATACGATCACAATTTGTATGACACTAAAATCATAAATATTTATATGTATGCAGTTAAAATCATAAATAGCTCTCTCTCTGTCTCTCTCTCTCTCTCTCTCTCTCTCTCTCTCTCTCTCTCTCTCTCTCTCTCTCTCTCTCTCTCTCTCTCTCTCTCTCTCTCTCTCTCTCTCTCTCTCTCTCTCTCTCTTCAACTACGCTCTTAATATAAATAAGCGTAGTCACTCAACCATAGTGGGCTAGTTCATTACTGTTGGTATGTGAACCAGGTTTAACTTCATCAGAAAGCAGTTAAAACTGCGGCTAAGGTTTTAGAAAGGTTATCATTTTGCATTAAACTTATAAATTGTTCTTTAGGTATTTCATTACAGATGTTGGAATCAGTTGAAGAACCCAACTGGAGCAATTCGTAGCGTAAATCGGAATAAAATACACACTTAGTCACAAAGTGTATCTCGTCTTGGTATCTCGTCACGCAATGGTTCTGAAACAGTTTACTTACACGCAGATGAAGCGGGGTCTTAGGGCGTGAATATCTCCCTACCTCTATCTCCAAAGGGAGAGAACTGCAATGCAATTTGGCCAAAGTGCTTCTGTGTTGCCCGCCTAAAACGTCGCGAACATAAAACGATGTACGTAAAGAGGCCTTGAAAAGTTTAAACGTTCTGAGCTTATTTCCATTAATGTGACCGGTGTCGTCACAGACACCGCGTAACCATTTTTCTGAGTCAAGCGTTGTCAGTTTACTTTCGATAATTGACTCAATCTAGTGATGGAAGTTGTAAGGAGGTAAAACATTTAAGAATGACATTTTCCTAAGATTTCCGAAAATTTAATGACCAGTTTCGGATTTTAGCAACAATTCTAGTAATAGAAAAAAAGGTTAATTTTCTCCAAAATCGAAAGATTTCTATTTTTGGTTTGGTTAGCTGGGATAACCACCCCATTTCTCCACGAACAGCCAAATTTGTAGTTTGTTTGCACACACCAAGACAGAACCGACACACGCTGTTTTAAACAGCGTTAATGCAACTGAATTCTCGAAGATGAAGGAACCATATGATAGAATCAGTTGTACCAGATTCTCATAGAGAGTATTATATACGTCATATGACATTCCTCCGAATACTTTGAATTTGCTAATTATCACACCGAGAACTCTACTTGCCGATTTAGTAATGAGTCCTTAGCTGTATAATTAAGATTTAAGACCAAAGACCAAGATACTTGTATGCAGAGCTAACCTCAATAGTATCGTTACCAAATTGAAAACTGAAATCGGTTTTATTTACTGAAGGTGGGCGGTAATGAACAATTTTGGTTTCACTGACATTAATCTGCAGTTGCCACCTCTGACAGCAGTCAGCAATTCAATTGAGCATTCTTGTAATATAACAATTACAAGAACGGTTTGCTGAAGACCATCCTGGGATTGGCGTGCCACCCTCACACGCCACCAAACATACACTCAAATAGCCACATAAACAGCCAAATAAAAGCTTCGTTATCCACCATCTGTTTGACATTTGACTAAGGGCCTATTTGATTATGTTAAACCGGTTTTGGTTCTATAAAACCATGCACTCGATTATGTCGAAACCATAAACTGGGTTCTGAAACTTCGAAACCATCTCCGAGGCAGGTTTCGCAGTTTTGGTTTCGCGTTCTCTCATAACAAACATGGCGGAAACCACCACGCTGAGCTGCATTTGCAAGCGCCAAGTTCAGCTGATCTTGGTGGCAAAATAGAGCAGCAGTTTCTGTAATCAAAATAATGATAAAAATCAACTGAGAACTAGGAAAATATTATTCAAAACCCCAGTCTACTGAACATGACTAGATTATGTAAATTGTATCCATATAATTACTTGTGACAGTATAATTACATATACGCAAATATTTACCTCTAAAAACATCTTATCTCTTTATTATTTGTTAATTCACTGATAAAATAACAAACAAATATGCTGCAATCCAATTCGTTCCACATATATAGTAGCTGGGACATTTTTGGGGTATCCATTTTGAAACCGGATGGTGAAACCATCCACTCGTTTATAAAAATAGAATTTAGTATCACTTTGAAACGATGTAACCGTAAATAGACACTCGTTTATGACAGGAGAAACCAGTATCAGAAACCAAAACCAGTTTCGCAATAATCGAACAGGCCCTAAAAGACAATCTGTTAACTATTTCAACTGGACATTGACATGAATATGTACATTTAACCACATACATGCACAATTCCATACAGTAACTACGGTACCCCATACTTCCCCCTTTATCTGCCAGCCACCTGGAGAGCCACATCCCACGTCAATGAAGCGTGTCTAAGTCCTCACTGGTCCTGGGAACGCCGCTACGGTTTTCCTCCTAATTATCAGTCTTTGCCATAGACTAACAACTAGTCTCTGAAATGAACATATTTTACTGAAAAAAGTTCATCGTAAAAAAAATATAAAATATAATGAAAAGGAGCCCTGAGACTTTCTTCATTTTCAGAAATGCTGAAGCTGAGGAAATCTAGACTTGCCACATTTTCTAGACTTGCGTGGGCTTTCTTGGATATATTTACTTCAGGGTCCGTACGACAGACTATCTATGCCAGTACGACACCAGATATAAAGTAGACGTTAATTAGGTTAGGATTTCGGTACTTGCATAGTATGACTTTGATCCCAAACATATATATTTATCCCAATCAACACTTGTTACGTGAATCGCTGGATTATCTGCTCAGCGACGTAAAGAACACATTAGGACGCGTTTCTTTCAGCGGTTTTTTTTATATAATATGCAAATAACACATTATCCAAAATTGCCTGTTACATTGAACAGTGGACCATACCCAAGTATTATTTATACAGGGTATTTAGTAAAGAAAGTCGGTAGGCAAATGAGTAAATTGACAGAGAGAGAGAGAAAATGTTTATTAAAGTGTCACGTGCAATAAAATACAGTACATTACATTACAGACATACATTAAACACAAAAAGCACCCGGCCATTTGGCCCATGAGACACTAAAATCACAAGAATTATCACAGTAATACAATAAAATAAGAGAATACAAATAAAACACACCATTACATACATTCCAGATTAATAACATGATATTTTAATTACAGTTAGCGTTACACCTGTGCCAGGGAGAACACTGTAGATTGCCCCTGCCTGTACTGACAGGATATGTGATGATAGATAGAAGCCAGCGGGTGTTAACAGGTTGTTGGGTAAACACGAGCAAGTGAACCGAAACACTGAGACAACATCGTGAAAGACATGTTCTCATACATACACTTGTTTAGAGTCTTTGAACGGCATGTATAATTGATACACGTTAAGGCGAGAATTTATGGATGTCAACTTCTTTATTTGAAGAACAATTTGAGTATATTCTTACTCCTTTATCATGTTAATGCAAAACGTCGTGTTCCTCAAGTAAAACAGCTGACATCCATACATTCTCTCCTTCATATACTTGTTGTTAATGCCTGATATACCAGGACAGTCACATCACAAAGACCTAAAAAATACATTATGAATAAAACAAATCCAGTTTAGTCCATTATATGACAAAATGAACAAATACTTTCAGTTGTAACACTGATGATCTATCGACCGATCAGAAAACCCATCCTGAAAAAACATTGCTCAGAACCATGTTAACAAACAATTACGTCGTATTAAAAATACACAGATACTTTTATAAAATAGGGATTATACGCAACAAATGTCAGGCTAATAGAATCTGTTCGTGCGTAACTTACACTAACAAGTACAGTAAGACACTCACAAAATAGGTGATTAAGTTGTCGCTCGTGAAAAACGTAACTCTATAATAACCAAATAATTACACGTGTATCTTCAAAGAGCCATATAAGTGACAGTAACTCTATTATGCAACACCCCTTCAGGTTGCCATACCTTTCAATCAAATCAACCATCTTTCGATCAAACACTTTCATTGTTGTTAATTACCTTTTAACCAAATGTATTAAAACATGGGTCAATAGTAGTGCACCTGGTTTACTACTGTCAATTTATTTGGAATCACTATCATTTATTTACAGGCAGGGAATTTTTTCTTCATACAAAATTTGGTGCGTACTTTCGAACATGGGCCTTCTGAGGCGAACGGCGCTGGATACCTTGTCACGGGACCTGTTGTGTTTAATTAACACCATTGTCCAGTTAAGACTTCTCAGAAGTAAGCTTAAAGACTGCTTGGGTATTAGCCCACGGCAAGGATGCTATCTATATCCCTAACTGTATAATACAGGTTCAATAACACGTAATTGTATGCAAGTGGTTACATAATAGATGAAGATTTAAAACAAAGGTACACGATTACGTAATGCCTTGGCGACACGTCAAAACTTTCGTGCAACTGCAATTGGCTACTTGGGCAAACTTCTTAGTTTAATACAATCGGATTCACCGGATGGGCTCATTAATTCGATCGCAAACGAAAGTGAAACCAGTTTCAAAAATAGGCTACTGTATCATATCACTGGATATTGTAACAGAGCGACAGTCTCGGTTAGATTCATTTGGAGGTTTGCTGAAATGGCTAACGTGGGAATACTTATTGTCGTTTTCCTCGGAATTTCAGGTAGGTTTTTTTTAAGGATGTCTAACGGTGAGCTTTGAATGTATAATAAGCATACGTTGTGACGTCCAAAGTTTGCAACGATTTTCTTCTGAAAGCCAAAACAGGGAAAAGAAGAAACAATTTTGGCTTTATTACCCATTATCTTGTTCTATACTTTATTGCCACCATCGCGTCTTCCAACCAGCACATGTGACAACCAGCACACGTGGCTTACAATTACACCTGTATCTGACATCATCCGTCCATATCGTATCTCCATATACATCTTTGTTTCAAACGTTTTTCCCGTGGCTAATTTGGCTGAATCGTAAGAAACTCAACCAACATGGACATTCTTAAATCTGTACACGAATTTACCATAACAAGCCATTTCAATGATCATACATTTATTATGTATCCCTGAACGTACAATGATTTCCAGTCTGCAAATCTGTTTTCACGATGGCACAACTAACTCACAAGTCTTGACCTTTTTTGTTGACCTTTTCTTAGATCAGTTTTGTTATTGTTCATTTTTATTTATCTAAGCATTTTGCTTTTTTTCCAATCCGTGTTTCTTTGGGAAATAAAATGATTTAAACAATGTGTTTCACGTGGCTAATTTGGCCTGACCACGAATTACACAATTAGAAACATACACATGACAGTTTTCTAAACGTCCCAACATTGTGTAAAGGACTCTAAGTATAATTTATGCATTTCGTCTGATCATGCGGCAATTTGTTAGAATTTAATCCCCAAAGACCATACACTTCATCAAATATTGTGGCGTATATTTGACACCTTCCCCACTCCATCAAGTTTCAACGTGCATGTTTTTAACACTGTTTACTATTTTTTGTAGTGACATGTATCGATGGCAACCAGACTGCACTGATGGACAAGCTGTTTTCAAATTATACTAGAGATGTGCGGCCAATCTGTGAAACTCTCGCACCAATAGAGCTCAAAATTGGCATTGCTGTAAGACAAGTCATTGAACTGGTAGGTAGCCAAATTCACAAGCATGCCGAAACTATGACACTATTTAACATATATGTTATATTTGGGATTACACTTTCTTAGTAAAGAACAAATTCTAGTATGCCTGACTCTGAGGGTGTGTAATGTTTGTAATGCCAAACATTTTACAGTTATGTATCTTATTTTAATGTATCGTTGGTGTCTCATAGGCCATATCGCCGGACATTGTTAAACATACGTACTTTTATCGAATCGGGTTGTACCAACAATGTGTGACACCATAATAATAAACTAATTTTCTTCTTCATTTTTTGCTGTGCGAATTTCAGTGCAATGGTCATTTTCTATGTTTGCACATTATCTGGTTTACTGTTGTCATTGTGTTGACCTCATGAGTTTATCTGTTGTCTTCCAGGACGAACCGAAGCAAATATTGACAGTCAACGCCTGGATTCGTTTGGTAAGATCAGTCAGTGTCTATCTTCTCAGTGAAGTAGATATGATGCATTTATCCACTCGTCACTTGCACACGTAATACATCGTGTCATGTTTTAGTTTGAACGAAATCAGTACTTGTACTCTGGAAGTGTTGGTTACTTGAATGGTTTCTTTGTCGCATTGCCACAAAAATACAGTTGAGCGGCGCCTCGGAACAAACAGGTTTTGCGGACATGTTTACTCATTACGGGACAGTTCGGGTTTTAAATGATATGATCGATATTGTTACTCTTTTCGAAACCATTCTAATACGTTTACAATTTGTAGATTGAAGTAATTTAGAAGGTATTCTGTCTGTTGAACAGATGATTCAACTTCCCATATGGGAAACTGTGCCATCCATGACAATAATAACCTGGTCCGTGTTAATAGTTCTTCCATGTCTGTGTTGTAGAACTGGTACGACTGTCAGATGGTATGGAACGCCACTAAGTATGGGGGCATCTCACAACTTATCCTCCCCTTTGCTAAAGTGTGGACACCGGATATTGCTCTATATGACAAGTAAGTAGGTTATAGTTCATCCGTTTTGTTAACATTGCAATTCAGACCTTGGCCTTTATAAAATTTGTTTCACAGTAATTAATGTTTTTATTTGCGAATCAGTGAGATACAGTTATATATTCTTTTACCCTTTTGTTGAGACCGGAATAAGCATAAAAGCTGTCATCCATAAAATGCGTCAAGTGTCCATGTTCTTCCGACAACACAATGCCCACCATAGATAAAATCTATATGTGTACACGTATTTATAACAGAGCAGTTAACTGTGTTATACCTGTATGCTCTCTTGATTTTAAACATCAGTATATTGTTTCATGTCGTCAAATTACGTGTAAATACTCCTCTTCTCTCAGAGTCAAACGGAATTGTGGGGATCTGACTTAGAATTGGTCTTTAGCAGCCCATGCTTGTCGGGTGGTCAGGCTCGCAGGCTTGGTTAATACATGTTATCGTGTCCCAATTGCGTAGTTCGATGCTCACGATCGCGAAGTTAAAGCATTACATGGGGTACGATCTGCGTGATCAGTTGATGCCAGTCACTGGATTGGCTAGTCCAGACTCGATTATTTACAGATGGTCGTCATATAGCTTCAATATTGTTGAGTGCGGCGTTAAAACCCCTGATCCCCACCCCTTCCAATTCCCGATCACCAAAGCTTTGCTTGTTTGCTGGGTATGTTTCACCTGTAGCGATCTAATAACGCCTCATCTACATCATCCCCAGTGCCGGAGAAGAACTTGTCGGACTCAAGGACTACCGCCCTACCTTCTACTCAGACGGTTCTGTGACCTACAACTTCCCCACCATCATAGAAAGCCTCTGCAAAGTCGACGTCACCTACTTCCCCTTCGACAGTCAAACATGTGCGCTGCGGTTTGGTTCCTGGGCCCATCATGGTCTGGAGATCAACAGCACCCTTAGGGACAGTTCCGGGGACATGTCCAGCTTCAAAGTCAACTCCGAGTGGGACTTGGTCAGTGTTCCAGTGGAACGACATGAGCTGTTCTACGGTTGCTGCCCTGAGCCTTATCCTGACGTAACGTTCTACGTCAATCTACGCCGCAAGCCGTTCTTCTACTTAGTGAATCTGCTCTTTCCCTGTATCCTGATCTCTGCTGTGGCTCTGTTGGGCTTTATCTTGCCTCCAGACGCCGGCGAGAAGGTGTCGCTGGAGATCACCGTGTTGCTGTCGCTGTCAGTGTTCATGCTGGTGGTGTCTGATACGTTGCCACCAACGTCGGACAACTTCCCGTATTTAGGTATGTTCCCTAAACCAGTTCCACTGGGTAATATAAACATGTACAAGGTTATGATGTTCCAAATCTACGCCATAAAGTTCGCTCAAAGCTCTACATTATTACCCAGGTTAGTGGATCAGAATGCACTTGAGTTACATTCTCAGCTTCCTGAGGAGTATACATCCCAAGCTAGAATACGCTACAACAGTCCCTTTAACGGGTACACATTTACTGCTTGGTGAATTACGAACAAAGTAAATTGCCAAGGGCGACCCCACATGCGCTAGATATATTTTGGTTTATGATTAGAATGGCCAGTGAATGAGTGAATCAATAAGTTAGCCCGCGGAATTGTAGACATGTACACGTTTAGTCATATGAAATAATGCGCATAAACATACATGCGGTAATTGGTTGGTACAAATAACAGGCACGAAAAAAGGCAAAATACATTGAAACGTTAGTTACACCCTGTTTCTGCACATACCTGACCACTGTATACCCTTGACTCCTGCAGGAATCTACTTCTGCCTGTCTATGGCACTGGTGACATTTTCAACGGTCCTTACAGTGCTCGTGCTGAACGTACACCACCAGGGTCAGAATGGCGTCCGTGTTCCTCGGTGGTTGAGAAAACTCTTCCTGTGTTCGAAGAGTGAACTGCAAGATCACCACATCAAGATAATCCCCAAGGGTGAACTTTACCAAAAGGATCAAAACGTAAGTCAAAGTCTCAAGTCTAAGTAACTTCTCCTATAGCATATAACCATTTGGAACCGGGTTAGAAATGATCTTCAGCAACCTATGATTGTTCTGTTAGAGGCTGGTCAAGCTTGCTGATTTGTTTCATGCATGTCATTGTATCCCAATTGCGAAGATCGATGCTCGTGATGTCAGTCACTGGATTATCTTGTCCAAACTAGATTATCTACAGACCGCCGTGATATAGCTGGGATATTGCTGAGTGCGGCGTTAAACAACAAACAAAAGCATTATATGTTTACTTAGTCCATTCTACTCGGAGCTATACCTTCGTGGCTATGTTCCTGGGCCTTGCAACTCAATTTTGTTCACTTAAATAATCTGGATCTAAACTAGCAATAAACGAGCAGCGACCTACGTCACCGTGTGTTTAACACCCATCCTATGTCACCTGCCACTGAAGTACTTCCCCCTGAGGTTCCGGGTTGGAACTGCTACCCACCAACCAATGCTAGTCCAAATGGATGAGGGGGGTCAAGCGCGGTGTCATTGTATCCCGACGGCATGGGACGTTGCTCTTATCAGTCAAGACGCCATCATTTACATACTACCGTCAAATAAAGCTGAGATATTGCTAAGTTCACTAAAAACAAACAAGATCTAGATTTACCTCCAGAGGACAGGTACTTGTATGGCCAACCTATCAATCTTACATCATTGATATTGTTTCAGGGCGTTTTGAAAAAGATAAACCAAAATGGAACAAATGGAAGTGATTCTCCAAAAAGTCAAGAGCAACCGTCTGCTTTGACCAAAGTGATGAAAGAGCAACTGGCGGTCCTGAAGGAGATCAACAGTCGGTACGCCCAGAAAGATAAAGATGCATCTATTGAAGAGGAATGGAAGAAAGTGGCAACTGTGATGGACAGAGTGTTCCTCGTAGTGTTCCTCATTTTGTCTGTTGTTTGTACTTTGGGGGGCGTTGATGCAGTGCTTCATCAGAGCTTGAGTTTCGGACAAGCAGCGAGTCATGTCCATGGTCTTCCCGTCCCTTTAAGGATTGACTCTTTCTCCACAGACATTACAAGAAGTAATATTCCTTGATGTTGTCTCATAGGGTGTCCAAGTTGGAGATCACCTGTACTAATCTACAGATTCATTATACCGGAAAGGAAGGGGCGAACTATGGAATCCAATTAGCTCCAGTGGAACCCGGAGTTGAATCAAGGTGTGAGTGGGAGATATCCGTCCATCTATCCTCATTGATACAGTTCCTGTTTTGATGGACTATGTATGGAACAGCGACACTGTTGATAAATCAGCAGTAAATTGGAACATGGTCTCACTTGAGTGTGTAGAAAAGTGTGTAGAAAGGTGTGTTAAGAATCGTTTTGTATATACATGATGTAGAGTATGGTTGTATATCACGCAAAACATGGGGATAAAACTGGCAAACTGACATGAACACATGTAGACACACACATGACACCAACCTCCATTATTAGCTATCGTTAACACTCGTGACCCTGGCATTTTAGTGTAAATTCAAAAGACACATAAACACGCATGCACTCACACATACACAAACATACAAACACACACATTCACGTTTTTACACTAAAAAGCATAAAATGTATAAATAGCAATCATGGTGGTAAATGAATGCTGACATTATTGATAGTAATAGAATAAAGTATAAAGCGAGATAATATATATAATGTCAAAACGTAATAGACACAAAACTATGAGTACATGTGAATATAACATAATAAACCGAGGTGCATCTCTTACACCAAGAGGCACATGTATCGTGAACACATTTTACGAACGGACCGTGTACACCACTAGACCTTCGGTTTCATTCTGTACAAGCCAATTCAGCTCGTAAAATCTAGAACATTCCACCTGTGACACATGTGACGACTCTTCACGTCTTCACAATCACAGATATCTATATTCAGCGAAATGTTGTAAGATAACAGATTTGCCGTACAATTCTTAATGTGAACATGACCAGTACGGCATTCAAACTGGGCATGCAGAACGACATGTTTGGATTTTCACATGATGGCGACTTTCAGATCACATATCTGTCTTTCATTACGAATGATGATTATTATATTTTACAATAAAGATTCAAAGGAAGACTCAACACACACACACACACACACACACACACACACACACACACACACACACACACACACACACACACACACACACACACACATATGTTACCAGCGACCGGAGACACAGACACACTTCCGGTTAATTCATACTCTACTTTTAGTTACAAATTCATGATCGTAAATTACCAGACATGGCTTTAATCGGTATCTGTCGAATGACACGTGCAATATGCATGCACGGTTATCTGTCACACTTCCCGAACCATATATGCCCCTTTCCATCCTCCCCATATTGTCATCTTACCCAGCTTCTCAGTGAGGCTCTTTTCAAATTCATTGAAGCCGCTTTTGCTTTTTGTTCAAAATTAAGCATTTTGAGAAACTTAACGTTAACTAGGCCAGCACTATGCAGCTGCTGGTGTTAATCTAAAGATATGGTGGTTTTATCGCTCTAGTCCACTGAGATGCCAGGGGGGAGGTAATACCTACTCCTCGAGCCGGACAGTCCTGGAAACAACAAATATCATGTCACAAGTACCATCTCTTAATGTCGTTTGGTATGACGCGGCCAGAGATCGACCATCGACCATCGACCTTCAGCTCTGTGTGTGTGTATAAAGCGTCGTAGAATGGGCAAATTGATTGTCTTAAACTTCAAAGGTTGTCATAAATACTGACACACACAAATATCAATCATGTGTCGAAATGTCATCTACATGAACCAATAAGTGCTTTATTACATAAATCGAAATCTTAAGCTTTAATGGAAAAAATGTAAGTGAAACAGTAAAATATTTATGTGCATAGTCTTTAACACTTCTGACAACTGTAATATTAATTATGACCTATCATTTTAACCCCAACACCCTGGTATGTCCATCCACCTAACACTGTACAGGGAATGTAAAATCGTGGACTTTTATTGCTAATAAATGATGCTGAGAAAAAAACTAGGCCAGGCGACTAAATAAATAAAATTTAAAAAATGAGCCAAAACCCTGAACTATTCCAAATAACACGGCACCTTTCATACACGGAAGCAATACAAAGCGGCACATATATTGACTGACGAGACATGGCTGTATGAGGACGTGGGATGCCTGTTTTGTATAGAACGCGTAATGTTTAGCCAATAAACAAGCATTGGTTTCACGTTGTTGTAATGTTTGATCATTTGTAATCCACGTGCCTTGTTTCAACAAGAGTCGGAACCACTTTGTTGAAATGTTTGATTTTAAGTATTCTATAACCATAAAACCAATCCGTCGCCATTGTGCAGGGAAACCCGAGGACTACTGGAAGTACTTAAATATGCCAAGAGACAAGCAGCCGTTGGGTTTAACGTAAGCTGCTGTTCAGTTTGATTAAATACTGACTGATGAAATCCAAACAAGCGGAGGTCGTGTAAATAGAATGAGAATACAATGAAAACAATATACCCAAGCATCATGCAATGGCAATGGTTGTTTGGTAACGGTCAATAGGCTTTTCTTACGACATTCATCGATTGTTGATTTTTAAAAGCCTTGCATGTTAGATGACTTGTCTGTCGGTCATATTCTGGTGTTAAGCATGAGAAGACAGATCATGGAATACACAAGATTTTGATACAAAAGTTTTGTTTTGTTTCGTTTTGTTTTTGTTTTTTTTGTGTGGTTTTGTTGGGGGATTGTGTGTGTGGTGGGAGGGGGTGTTTTTCTTTTGATTAACGTCGCCCTGTATTTATGTAAATAATGTGGAGCCTGCACCAGACAAACCAGTGATTGGCTTTCCGACACGGTCAACCATGTCACCATTTTGAAATACATTAGCTTTTTTCCCAGATTTTCAGGGTTAAAGGTTAATCCAGAGTAAACAGGCTAATATGGAAAGGATTAAAGAAATCTAGGTATAAGATGTGCAAGGAAGGGAATTTGGACTGGATACAGTAAAAGTTCAAACTCTAGGGAATAGATTTTGATGTTGAGTTAAATGATATGGTAGACATCAGCTATATAATGATAAATAAGAGAAAATCTACAAGGAAATGAATATTTGGTCTTTGAGATTTTTTACACCAATGGGTAGAAATGTTATCCTAAAATTCTTGCTACTACCAAAGTTAAATCACTTATTCCCATCAATCCCTAGCCCACCTGATGATATTAAAAGCACAGTTTCAAAAAATGATTTAATAGTTTTGTGTGGCAATGAAAGAAAGATAAGGTAAATCATGCATCTCAAAGCCAAAGATGGAGGTATTAGTGTACCTATTATAAAAATACTATAAATGCCCAAAAAGTGACGTGGATCAAGCGGTTTACAATCGGAAATTCAAAATGTATCTCTACCGTAAATGAAGGATTAGTTGATTCAAATAAATTATGCTTTGCAGATGCAGAATATGTATGCAATAATATTATTCCTTATGTTTAAAATCAATTCTGGAGAGATGTATTAGTGGCCTGGTGTCACTGCCTAAAGAGGTGTTATGCAAATGTGAAAGAAATTTTAGATACTTTCTGCCAATCTTTATGGTTTAATAATAACATCAGGATAGCGGGAGAGTTCATTTATCACGGAAATATGGCAAAAAGGGAATACATTTTGTTTGTGATATTGTAAATCAGAATGGAAAATTCTTACAAAATGTTGAAATTGAAAAACAATATGGAATTGTCAAAATAAACTATCTCCACCTTGAAGGCATAAAAGGTTCTGTTCAAGCATATCGTTTAAAATGTACTTGATATGGGTAAGGCCCACTATCAGATTCAATATCCAACACTGCCATTCAAAATATCTTGTATTTGTGGACAAAATCAAAAGAGTAAATCATTTTATAATATACTTTTATAACATTGTCAATCCAGACCGACTGGACAAAATAAATGGGAGGATATCCTTAATACACAATATAACAAGGAGGATTGGTCAAATATTGATTTAATGGCAAATAGATGCACAGAAAGTGTACAGATAAGGTGGTTTCACTTCAAGATTACTCACAATATATTAATGACCAAACATAAGCTATATTTGATGAAATACAATGACTCTCCCTGTGCCCTGTCTGTGAATCCACTCCTGAAACAATTGTACATTTACTTTGTGAATGTACTTATACTGTGAATGTATTGAGGGAAGTATCCAATTGGCTTGATGTATTGTCTGAAGGAAGTATTGACTTTTATATATAAAATATCATCTTTGGTTTCAAGGGTAAAAACAATAACCCACTTAATGTGGTAATTTTTCTTGTGAAATATACACTGTATAAAATAAGTTTAAAAATATAGAGCCAAACTCTAAATTTCTCCAAAGAGAAATACTGAACTATTATAAAGCGACAAAATATATAGCATTCTCCAATGCAATGAACATTTCTATGCCTTGTGGTTTTCCTTCCATGCACTCTTTGCTAATGATATTGATCCATTATGTTCTGTATACCACAACTCAGCTTTGAAATAACATATGAACATTTGTATCACACATCAGCTTCCAATATATGATGATTATTGCATGCCACGTGTACTACGTATACAACAACTCAACCTGTGAATTAGGAAAAACTGTATCATGTATTAACTTCTGACTGTATGACGATTGTATTAACATGTCAACAATATACTTGGGAAATAATAATACTTTTTTATAAAATCATGTCACCATGACAACCGGACAACCCAATGCCGTTTACGAATGATTCACAGATTGTTTCTACTGAAATATCGGGCGCTTGCCAATCAGGCGATTGATCATGTCACCCATTACTCATTCCGTCTCATAGTTTTAAACTATTCCAGTACATGTTTAATTGATGCCTGCATATCTCAGTAAATACAACAAAAGCAGTATCTGATACCATTGCCAACTCTGTGACAAATGCACGGGCCGGTGTATCCTCCTCACATCTGAATAGGTGTTTTGTTATTGCCTCAGCTTGTGAGCCATGCTATATATGTTACAGGGAATGTGTGAAACCAGGGATTTCACGTAATCCCTGAATGATTCAGTGATTTCGCGAAATCACTGTGACCCCCAGGGATTTCATGTATTCCCTAAAATTTCAAGGCATTTCATGAAATTACTGATTTTATTGGTGTTCCATTACACACATTCCCTGTGAGGATATCAGTGAATATGTGAAATTAATGTTTGTAGCTTAAAACTTTACTGTTGAGTCTCATTTCATCCCTTAGTTCTTTGGAGTTGAAAACTTTGACAATTTACCCGCTGTTGAAGAAGAAGAGCTGATGACACTTTTGGCTAATTACTACCTTTTCTCCACACAGACTGTTGTCCTAACCAGTGTAAATCAATACGTTGTAAATGTTTTAATGCTACTTGTATGATAACACTCTATCTTGTCCCAACAAGAATTAATTTTCTCACGGCTTTACTGTTTAGTCTCATTTCATCCCTTAATACTACTGAAAAACACTTTAAGGACCACTCAGTTTTTTTCATATTATTAATTCAAATCTGCAATGACAGATTCATAGTTATGTGAAAGAATCTTTAACTTGTTAGGTCGTATATATAAACGTGAAGCAAGGGTAGGACTGTTACAATATGAGTCCAGAGTCATAGTTATGTGAAAGAATCTTTAACTTTTTAGGCTGTATATATAAACGTGAAGCAAGGGTAGGACTGTTACAATATGAGCCCGAAACTACGAATTCTGTACAGCGTATGTCGGCACCTTGGGCTACTGGGCAATAGGGCCGCCAAATGACACAACTTCCTTCAAGACTCCAAACAGCTAATAGGTTTACCAAATGGTAGGTACTAATGGCAGAACACGATCGGTCAACTGTTTGGTGACGCGTTGGTCATACCACCATATATCAAGCGTCTTTCAAGTAGATTTTGAAACCTCAATGTTGATGAAATGAATTTATTTTAACTGATTATAAACATACATAATGTATAATTAAAATCGGCAGAATTAAATGATGGCAAAGTCGTGTAAAATAATTCCCGACAACTTGATAATAGTCAACCATCGTGCGAGAGATAAAGAAAAACAGGGTAAAGAAATCTAAGTCTGACGAACGTCTGTGAATGCGAGCACCAACCTGATATTGGTATTCTATGCGTTTCCTTTACGATCCTACTTTTGCATTACTGTTCATTTTGAGACAACCAACATGGCGGGAGATTGATTTCCGGTTATTAATTTTTCTCCGGTAAATATGTGTTTACCACTAGTTTCCTCTTATTCGGAGAATCAACGTAAGCGATATATGTTGCAATTGTGTAATGAAGACAAGTTATCGTTCAGTTGCTTATGTATGCTTAGAAAATTGTCTCGTCATAGATTTTACCTTGGCTTTGGCTGCGACAGGTGATCGACCCCGACTTACTAAGTTACTGAATTAGTGAATATCACATGAAAATGCGATACTTGTATTTTGTCGTTTGCCCCGATTGTTCGTCCATGAAATAGCAATGCCTGTAAACAACTGATTCACATTCGCCATAAAATTACACGCGTTTTCACTGACATGTCAATGCAAAACAACCAAACAGAGAAGACAACACAGTGTTCAAACTAATTGAGTTCACATAAAAATACATCAGATGAAATTGTGTTTAATAGAATTATAATGTGTGATAAAATTTCGTATTCCTATACCTATATTAAGAATGGACTTCCACACGTATCCCGCCTTAAATTTCATTCTAGTAAAATCATATCACCTGAATTTATATTCCTCATCTGATAAGGATGAGATTCAACGGAGTTATAGCTAAAACGGCACCACAGCAGAACGGCACCAAATTTGTGTGGCGAAAACGTCACCATATTGGCGAAAACGGCTACTGATTTCTGGGCTAAAACGGCACCATATATAAAACAAAGTATGACGTTGACTCATGTTTTATTTCATTTCATTATAACATTAGCAAGATTATATCAACATATGAGTCATTCTCAAAATCCGTGCATATTTATGTCAGATGTTTGTATCCGACAAACTTAAGTCAAAATCAAACCAAAAAAATTATGGTATCTAACTTATCACAATATTTTTCTACACTTTACAGTAACAAAATTAGGGAAAATATATTTTCATATTTACTTTACACCACCCAATTTTACTCAATGTTCATGTGTCACAACTCCAGTGGCTGATATCACAGATGTGGCATTTGAATTTTTTTGTCTTTTCATAAGCAATAAATATACAATTTCAAAACTTCGATGTTATATTGTAAAACTAGATATTTTAATATATATGTACATGAAATAAATATTATCTTTGGATTTTTCTTTTCAAAATGATGTTACAAATTTCTCGAAACGGCGGTGACACAATTTCAGGAAATGTCTAATAAAAATGGTAAAATATGAAAATGAAACATCATTAAGCTTGAATAATATATGTTATGTATATTCAGAAAAATTATTATGTTATGTATACCCAAAAGATAAAAAAATCCCCATAAAACCAATAGCTGGATACATAATTGAAATAAGTTGACAACAAAAATGAAAAATACTGTGACAAAATAACAGATAAATGATTGAATAATAAATATGTTCGGTATAGTGTTGGATATGCCTAGCAACAAAATGAGCAGCCGCGAAAATCAAATATATAAAACTTGCCTTTACATTGAATATATACATACATTTGATAATTACTGTAAGCGGTTACTTTTAGAAATGAACTGTTGTAATGAGTTCAGAATATCACTAAAATAGTTGAGTTATTCAATGCGCCCGTTACCGTATAAAGTAGTTTTCACATCGTATCCTTGAATATAAAAATACATCCTTGTTCTTAAATTTTGATATTTCGCCATAATAGTAGATGTATTTACTATCTGCAATCGGATTATCTAGTTTTCCTATACGATTTTAGTTGGTGCCGCCGCCATAAGATTTGTAGCCCGTTTTAAGCCAAGGTTCCGTTATGTCCAAATGGTGCCGCTTTTAGCCAGGTGATTCAACATGTTACTTCAATTGTATCTGAACATACTGAAAGACTTCTAAAAATGCCACTCAAAGAATCTTTTGCTCATCGTTAAAATTTAGGGGGGATACGGGCGGAAGTCTTACTGAGTGATGATCCCATATAACAGTGAACACCATGCAAATAGGAATTTATGTCACAGTAAGGGGTGGTGGTGTAGCTTAGTGGTTAAAGCGTTCACTCGTCACACCGAAGACCCGGGCTCGATTCCCCACATGGGTACAATGTGTGAAGCCCATTTCTGGTGTACCCCGCTATGATATTGCTAAAAGCGGCATAAAACCAAACTCACTCACTCACTATATCACAGTAAATAGTATTATTAAATTAAAATCACAGTTTTAACTATTCTTTGGATAAAGAGTTAACATCACAAGTTGGAGTGTTTCTGTCATTTAGAGCTGCATTCAGCAATAATTTAGCTACATGACAAAGTTCTGTAATAATCTCCCCCGAAGACAATCGTGGGATTTTTTTAACCACCATCAATCTATACAAATGGGATACAATGACATGCATCAACCAACTCAACTCGCCTGAACACCCAGTCGCATTCATCACCTTACAAGCACATGTTGCTGAAGACATACTCTTACCTAGATATACTGGGGTATATTTCATATTGCAGTTGGTTTTTTAATCAGAATGCAGTCAGTTGTTAATTCTGCAAGCATATGCATATTCACCATCAAGTTAACATTAACCAGCTGATCACACCACAACAGTTTTCATGTCTCTACATCGCTGCCATATAGCTGAAATACTGCTGAGCGCGGCTAAAACTGAACTCACTCACTCACTCACTCTACGTGACATTCATTAAGACTAATAAACTTGTTGAATATGTGATATCTTACTATTTACTATTTTCTACATTCGTTTCAGTTTGGCATTCAGAGATGTAGTGCTACCTGGACTAAATAGCTCCATCATGGTTTATATGATCAAACTGTGTTTATCAGTTTCTGGACATGGCTGAATTGTCGATTGTCAGTGTAGTCCTATTCATAGCATCAGGGGGCTTGGTAAGTTCGTTGATCACTTTCAATTCTAGTTGTTTGAGTTTGTGTTGGTAACGTGTATTTTGAACATATATTATTAATTTAGTATGCACTGTTAAAGCACTCCAGATGCAAAGCTGTTTGAGTTGAGCAGTGGAGACAAAAACATAAAAACATCCTAATGCAGCTCTCATGTGTTTGGTTTTTTTTGTGGGTGGGGTGCGGGTGGGGTAGTCTAATGGTTAAAGTGTTGGCTTGTTGTGCTGAGGGCCTGGGTTCGATTCCTCCTATGGGTACAATGTGTGAATCCCATTTCTGGTGTCCTCCGCCCGTGATATTGCTGGAATATTGCTAACAGCGGCGTGAAACTAATCTCACTAACTCTCACTCACTTATTTTTTTGTGTGTGCAAAATGTGTTGATATGTGTTTGATTATACAGATGGAAGATGACCAAGGAGAACTGTACTGTTGCATTGTATCATTTCTGCATTTAAAGGTTTTCATCCTACTGTTCCTGTTTGCCAAGCGTCAGATTACAAGATTCACACTCAAATCTGCTAGAAGACCCCATGTCAACATTGGAACAGATGCACCCAAGGTATATTACACTGATCATTTATCATATGCACTATTTCAGTCAATAGTCTTTGGAAGGTGTGTTATTTTCTGAAACTACAATCACAAATACAACAAACAGGAAACAGGAAAGTTTTGAAAAAGCTTCCTTTATCAGTTTCTGTGCAGTTTATGTGCATAGTCAAGTAATTTTTGTAAGGACTAATGATACGAAAAGAAAGACGGTTATTTGTCAGTTGCATGAACATGTTTGAAAATTTTCATGACATACATGTATTTCAGAACTTTCAAATTTGTCCTGTGTAATGGGCAATAAAGAACTTTACCATGTCTCACCTATCTTAGGTGTCTTCTTATTGCATGAAGGTATAAATAGATTTTAAAAAAACCACAGCACAATGAACTAAATAAGGATATAATAGAAGTGATGTTGCGTTTCGTAATAGATAAAACCGAACATGCTCCAATAGTATTTTGGAATTTTGACATGTATCCTTCACTAACCTGATGTTTTGATTCTGTCTAGATGATGCGACAGGAGATCAAGAGACGTCTGGATCGGGTGGAGCATTTTATGTATGAGCCAGTGCTGCTGACCGAGAGAGTCCAGATTGTGGCTTCCTCAGGTTGGTCAATCTCAGTGTACTGTCTGTTTGGAGCACAGTGACTTACTGTTGTTTACATCAGTGTGAGCTGTTTTTTAGTTAAAATTTATGATGATGATAGGCTCACTGGTTTGTCTGCACCACAAATGTGGTAATGATCTGGTAAAGATGTACAACTATTCCGTCATGATACACCCAAACACATGCCCCTGGCTGTTCATCATGAAATAATTGTTCTCCAGGATATTTCAATCTTTATTTCTTTGAAGCTTTTTTTATAAATATTATTAGTAGTACCTGGTGGAGTGCAGTTCAAGCTAAACACACTCACTGTTCCATGTAGTGATAGGTGGGGTGGCCTAGTGGTTAAAGTGATTGTCACACCAATGTGACATGGTTGTCACACCAATGTGACATGGTTGTCACACCAATGTGACATGGCACACCAATGTGACATGGCAATGTTGCTGAAAGTGGTGTAAAACCATACACAATCTCTGTTCAATGTTACATTCATACCTTTCTTGATTTGGATGTCAACAATATGTTTGTCTGTTTTCAATGTTTGCTAATGTTACTACACAGCTAGCTGACTGTTAGGTTGTTGAAAACCTTTTTGTTTAATGTCACAGGTCCCATCAACCACAGCAGCAGTGCCTGTACACTTACGTCTTGATAACACACCTATTGTTTACAGTTGTCTGGTTTTCGTTTATATTATGTTTACAGCTATGCAATGCTAATATTGTCAGATCTATATTTTGACTTCCCCATTTTTAAATGTTGAATATAAACATTGCTTCCTTGATGTTTTTTTCAACCAGCCAATTACTTGTGATGTAAATAGTGACTGATGTCTACATGATCAACAAGTTCACAATATGTAGTGTGTTGGAATACATTGTGCATTAATACATATTGTTTGTCCCATTTTCTTGAAATATATTTTTGTTTCCTATCTATTTTTAGTTCCCAATCATTACTACTACAGAATGAAGGCGCTGGATGCTTACACTAATGCAAGTAAGTAGAATGGAAACAGTTTATCAGAGTTTAACCAGCTGACCTTCAGTTATATCCTTATCTCTAATCCTGGTTTCAGTACTGGATTATATTTTGTGTGTGATGTCCTGTCCAGAAAGATGTGATCATTTCCTTAGGTGTGGAGCAGCTGGGTAGCGTAACGAGTGTTGGCTCGTTTTGCCTAAAGCCCAGGTTTGTTCCCCTACATGTTTACAACATGTTAAACCCTGTTGTTGTGTCCTATAATGTGCATTTGTTCGATTTTTCCTAAATTTGGCTTAAAACCAAACACACAAACTATGATGATAGAGATGCTCACCTCTAAAACCTGTACCCCCTCCCTACACAGTTGAGAGTCTACGTGAGAATGAACCCACAATGGAGATGAGGCACCCGACACAGACTATCCGACAGTACCTGTTTTCCCTGTGTCCATCAGCCATCACAGGACCTGCCCACAAGTCTGACATCATCCACCGGTTCTCTGATGGCTATGTTCAGGCCAGGCATGACCCAGCTGTAAGTAGCAATCATCCAGTTCCAGACACAGGTCCACTTGAACAGATCTTGATATAGTTATCCTGTACCCTTTGCTTGTCGGTGACATATATATATCAGCCATGTAACAATATGTGGCATAAAGGGACCAAATATGTGTTTGAAGGGACCAGTGTTGTATGTTACAGTGTCGTATGTTACAAGTGTTTGAAAGGGAGCAGTTTGTATGTTACAGGTGTTTGTATTAAGCAGTATGTGTTACAGGTGTTTGAAGGACCAGTGAGTGTTTGAAGGGACCAGTATTTGAAAGGTAGCAGTTTTGTATGTTACAGGTGTTTGAAGGGACCAGTATTGTATGTTACAGTGTCGTATGTTACAGGTGTTTGAAGGGACCAGGTATTGTATGTTACAGTGTTGTATGTTACAGGTGTTTGAAGGGACCAGTATTGTATGTTACAGTGTTTGTATGTTACAGGTGTTTGAAGGGACCAGTATTGTATGTTACAGTGTTGTATGTTACAGGTGTTTGAAGGGACCAGTGTTGTATGTTACAGTGTCTTATGTTACAGGTGTTTGAAGGGACCAGTATTGTATGTTACAGTGTTGTATGTTACAGATGTTTGAAGGGACCAGTATTGTATGTTACAGTGTCTTATGTTACAAGTGTTTGAAGGGACCAGTTACAGTATTTTGTATGTTACAAGTGTTTGAATGTTACAGGTGTTTGAAGGGACCAGTGTTGTATGTTACAGGTGTTTGAAGGGACCAGTATTGTATGTTACAGGTGTTTGAAGGGACCAGTGTTGTATGTTACAGTGTCATTATGTTACAGGTGTTTGAAGGGACCAGTGTTGTATGTTACAGTGTCATATGTTACAAGTGTTTGAAGGGACTGTTTTGAAGGTTACCGGTGTTGTATGTTACAGTGTCTTATGTTACAAGTGTTTGAAGAAGGGACCAGTGTTGTTACAGTGTCATATGTTACAGGTGTTTGAAGGGACCAGTATTGTATGTTACAGTGTTGTATGTTACAGGTGTTTGAAGGGACCAGTGTTGTATGTTACAGTGTTTGAAGGGATGTTACAGGTGTTTGAAGGGACCAGTATTGTATGTTGTTACAGTGTTATATGTTACAGGTGTTTGAAGGGACCAGTATTGTATGTTACAGTGTCATATATGTTACAGGTGTTTGAAGGGACCAGTGTTGTATGTTACAGTGTCATATGTTACAGGTGTTTGAAGGGACCAGTGTTGTATGTTACAGTGTCATATGTTACAGGTGTTTGAGGTGTTTGAAGGGACCAGTGTTGTATGTTACAGTGTTGTATGTTACAAGTGTTTGAAGGGACCAGTATTGTATGTTACAGTGTCTTATGTTACAAGTGTTTGAAGGGACCAGTATTGTATGTTACAGTATTTCATATTTACAGGTGTTTGAAGGGACCAGTGTTGTATGTTACAGTGTCTTATGTTACAAGTGTTTGAAGGGACCGGTATTGTATGTTACAGGTGTTTGAAGGGACCAGTGTTGTATGTTACAGTGTCGTATGTTACAAGTGTTTGAAGGGACCAGTATTGTATGTTACAGTGTCTTATGTTACAGGTGTTTGAAGGGACCAGTATTGTATGTTACAGTGTTGTATGTTACAGGTGTTTGAAGGGACCAGTGTTGTATGTTACAGTGTCTTATGTTACAAGTGTTTGAAGGGACCGGTATTGTATGTTACAATGTTGTATGTTACAGGTGTTTGAAGGGACCAGTATTGTTGTATGTTACAGTGTCATATGTTACAGATGTTTGAAGGGACCAGTATTGTATGTTACAGTGTCATGTTACAGGTGTTTGAAGGGACCAGTATTGTATGTTACAGTGTTACAGGGACCAGTATTGTATGTTACAGTGTGTTTGAAGGACCAGTTGAAGGGAGCGGTATTTTATGTTACAGTGTCTTATGTTACAGGTGTATGAAGGGACCAGTATTGTATGTTACAGTATTGTATGTTACAGGTGTTTGAAGGGACCAGTGTTGTATGTTACAGTGTCATATGTTACAGATGTTTGAAGGGACCAGTGTTGTATGTTACAGTGTCATATGTTACAGGTGTTTGAAGGGACCAGTGTTGTATGTTACAGTGTCATATGTTACAGATGTGTTTGAAGGGACCAGTATTGTATGTTACAGTGTCGTATGTTACAGGTGTTTGAAGGGACCAGTATTGTATGTTACAGTGTTGTATGTTACAGGTGTTTGAAGGGACCAGTATTGTATGTTACAGTGTCATATGTTACAGGTGTTTGAAGGGACCAGTGTTGTATGTTACAGTGTTGTATGTTACAAGTGTTTGAAGGGACCAGTGTTGTATGTTACAGTGTCATTATGTTACAGGTGTTTGAAGGGACCAGTGTTGTATGTTACAGTGTCGTATGTTACAGGTATTGAAGGGGACCAGTGTTGTATGTTACAGTGTTTCATGTTACAGGTGTTTGAAGGGACCAGTGTTGTATGTGACCAGTATTGTTACAGTATGTTACAGGTGTTTGAAGGGGACCAGTGTTGTATGTTACAGTGTTTCATGTTACAGGTGTTTGAAGGGGAGCAATGTTACATGTTACAGTATTTCTTGTTACAGGTGTTTGAAGGGACCAGTGTTGTGTATTGCAATGTTGTACATTACAGGTATTGAAGGGGACCAGTGTTAAATGTTACAGTATTTCTTGTTACAGGTGTTTGAAGGGGAGCAGTTCATCAACTACATGGAGCTGTTGGACCAGGTGATTCGCCTGTAAGTAGCAACTCATACTGGAGTCAAACATGGCTTACACTGATTGGAAAGTATATTAACAATATATTAACTCAAACGTATAATGATATTGTTAATATGAAGCTGTATCAATAAAGCATAACTATGAACAATTACTGACACATTTATATTGCTATGTACAGTGACATCAGGAAGCAAATTTGAAGAAGGTTTGTGTTGTGAGAACTTTGTTAGGATTTTCATGGCTTGTTAAGACATTTTGTCTGATTCCCTGAAGACTGACTGACTGAGTTTGGTTTTTACGCCGCTTTTAGCAATATTCCAGCAACATCACGGCGGGGGACACCAGAAATGGGCTTCACACATTACACCCATGTGGGGAGATTCCCTGAAGAAATAGTTTCACATTGCAATTATTCACCAACTCAAATAATTACTGTTCCTGGACCTATTATGCCTCTGACAAGACAAATACAATTTCTTGTTCCCAACCAAATGTTTTGTTCAGCATATATGACATGTTATGCGAGAATATTTTTACAAATAACATAACAAATGTTGAGGCCAATTGTTGACAATATTTGAAAGTAATTTTAAAAAAGATTCTGACACTCAGTTCATAAATCAGTGTGACACTCATGATCATATTATGTCCACATATAATTATTCTTCTCTTGCTGTCTTTCTCCAGCATCAAACAAGATGCTGATAACCGGTCCAGCACAGCAGTGTGGTTCAGCAAGAATCTCAAGGACACAGAAGTGATCTTCCAGCCGGGGAAAAAAGGTTTCGAAGATGGCACAGTTACCGTCCAAGCCTCCAAGTCTCACACAGACACAGAACCAAAGACAGAGACTCGGAACCGGCGCCCAGATAGTCTGGAACATATCAACCTGGTGGACAGCGGCAAGTCCAGCGGCTACAGCAGTACGGACAGGTCAAGCAGCAGCAGGGGGAGTGTCGAGAAACTCATCCCTGTCCGGGAAGCTGAGAAGGAAGATCCCGTTTAAACACAGGTGGTGTTACCAGTTTCAAGGATGTATGATTCTTGGGGAGGATTAGAGGAGAATGTTTGGTGAAGAAGTGTGATGTGTTTGGCTCATTTTGTTGAATGTTTTAGAGAACAGTTTAGTTAGTATAATGAAGGGCAAAAATAACTGAACATGTACAGGTTTATGATTGTGTTGTGGTGAAACATCTACTTTATGATTTTTATTCTGGGGCTGGAAATTTGTATACACTAATCTTTTCTGTAGGTACAAAAACATTCACCAGTGCATTTATTTTTATAATGTTCAGATTAGAGTTTAGTAATCACAGCTGTGCAAAATATCCTCATTGTGTAGTAAATGGATTTTATGCAAAATGTGAAGAAGTATGTTTGCTCAGTCAAACATTCTTTAGTATAAAAAGTCACTGGATATGTTTGTGATTAAAGTCCTTTATCATAAAATGTTACATGGGGAACTTAAAAATGGTAATATTTGTTGAAGTAGAAAAAAATCTTAAATGTTGTAGCTTGTTCAAGATTGTTAATGGTCGAGCTTGGACCTTGACTGACTTTACAGTGACAAATACTCCAGCGTAACCATGCTCACAAGAGTAACCAAAGTTCTTGTTTGTAATTTGGTTCACACCTTGGTAGGTTTCTTGCGTGTATTGCACACTATATGCTCATCAGTCAACACATCATTAGTGGATAGTGATTTGCATTTAACTTGTTTTGGTAAGTGTTGAATAGGTGGTACAAACATGTAACCATGGTAACCATACACATTTTCTTTTGTGTTTATACCCATGTTTTAGTGGCAGCCATTATTATCTTTAAGGGGAGATAATTCCACATTGGTTGTCCATATTATTTTGTGTCATGTCTATGGAGTAGGTCTGAAGAAAAGTTTGCTTCTAAATGATGATAGAACTAAGTTTCCTGTTGTATAAGCATGAGATATTTGAAACGTAGGTTCACAAAAGGATGAATGCCTGATGTCAGTAACACCAATGACTCAATGTCAAATGTGACTTGTCTATTGAACACCCTCATACACCCTCAAGATGTTATCGTCTTGTATTAGCAAATCCACATACCTCACTGTGACGTATTGCGAGAACAGGACCTTCTTTATACAGAGAACAGGTTTTTCCATTAAACAGCACAGGGATATTTCAGTGTCTAAATAAAATATGAATTTGGAATACACTGAACACAGAAATCCAACTGACGAGACCATGTTTTTTCATATTATTTTTTTGGGTAAACGACAAATTACCAAGTTTTGGTTTTATTTCCTCATGGTATGATCATATGACACTGGATGCAGTTGTTCCTGAACAGGGCGAAGTGGGACACATACCTCATTGCTCACATTTGCACACTTGTTTTGGTTTTATTATAATTGTACATGTCGCCATTATTCACCATTGTTCACCATTCCCTTGCAAATCTAAATTGCATATTTTACTTTATTTTATCACACTAACGTACCCACATTTTTCTCTTCCATTATTAATACAATTGATGTATTTTTACAAATATTTATTTTAGAAGAAACAATAACAACGACAATGTGATATTTGCTGATCATTTGTGTGTACATATGTAGATATCGGGATACCAATGTACGTCATGTTCCACAAGGTTGTCTTTGTGGTGTGACTATTGTTGATCCATACTTTGTTAAATACTTATGGTAGTCTTAGCACTAAGATAGTTTTGTGGAAAGGGACCCAAACAACGGTACCTTGTAGCTGTGTGTAACCATGGCAACAATTGAATGCTTTGATAGAGAGAAGATTGCTAGTGTGTAAGTTTCAAATTTTGTGTTGGGTCTATATATGACAAGCTATCATAAGATAGGTCTTCTTTGATCAAAGAGAATGAAATATTTCATATTGGAGAAAATTGAGAATTGCTCTGATTTTATGGGATTTTATCCATTAATTTTTTTATCATGGTGTTGTTGTGTCCACAAGTTACAATTTCATAAACAAAAATTGTGTGTTGAACACTTTCATTAACTGATAAGGAAATCTTTCAGACACATTTTTAGTTTGCTTCCAATAAAGTTGCAAATGACTGTGTGAGTGTTCGGCAGGGACATGAGCCTCAAAGTATTGCCTCATTGAATACCAAAGCAATTCATAAACATAAAACAGAAGTCAACATCAACAGAAAAAAGTTATATCAAAGGTGAAAGTTCTATAATGGGGTGCCACAGTTTCATCATCATGGTCATATTTCAACAAACTTGAAATGTATTTCATTAACTAAGGAAATAAAAATGGATTTTACTTACTCTCAGTAACATAATAAATATTGGCTGATATTGACGTGCTTGTGAAGTAAACATGTTTCATCGCCCACTGGCACTAAACACCAAGTTGACACTGAATGTTTATCCTCTGTGAAACTCTTATTTCTGAGTCAAGTGGACAATTACTTGAAACTTGGAACGTCTATGTAATGTGATCATCTACCTTGGCTGATAGAGAACAAAAAACATATTGACCTATCGTTTTCCTCATAGAATATTGATGATTTAAATTTAATAATACGTACAATGTGACAGGTGGTGTAGATCTATATCATGAGAACAATAATCAATTTTCAACCCACTGTTCTAAACCTGTCATTGATAATATGGGCCCTGAACAAGCCTTTACATGAGTTGTAATAAATAGCATCACACAGAGACTCAGGTGTCTCCAAATTGGGACAGTCTGTGCCAATGTGTGGTACTAGACACCATGATAATGCTGAAATACTGCTAAATCACCAATAAATGGTTTGTCCCAGAATTTGTGATGGATTGATATTGGATAATCACATTCCACGCACACAGAATCATGTTTCATGAAAACGGAATAATGTTCCACGTATACAGCTCTGTGCTTGTGTATCTGTGATATGATTCCTCACATGAAGCAGAGAATGAAGACCACAGCTGACATTTACATACTGCATATTCCGTAATATGTAGGATTCATGTAGCGACTGAGATTGTACGAGGTAACACTTAATTTAGAAAGTGGACAAAATATTCTATTGATACCATTTACCGTTACCTAACATGTCTACAATCAGACCTACAAGACTCATATATAAGAAAACATTTAGAGTTAAAACAATATGTTGTTATCACATTTATCACGTTTATTGTAAATTTATCATCTCAGTGTCTGTGAAATCTAAATTGGAATTTGATTTGAAAAGTTTCCAGACAACATAATATAAGTGTAATTTTGTTATCATTATCATCAGCATATTGGTTAAATGTTATGTATAGGTAATTTACATATAAGTACCATTATTCAACTGTGTCAGATGTACATATGTATGTGTGTCAGGCCGAACTTGGTATTTTATCGCACATATAATGAATGTGTGTTTGTGTGTGTGGTGTATATACACACTATATATTCAACTGGTTTAGTGGTACTACCTCATATTTACACACGTCAACACTCAGTCTTGTTCCTGCACACAATACTATGTAATATCCGTTTTAAATATAATTTCTTTATTTCTTTTTCAAAATAACCATCAAGACATGGGGGACAAATTCTCCAGTGACTATTCATTGAACAAATCCAGCTTGCACACGATAGACTGAGGAATCTGTTTGTTGGAGAACTGGCATTCAAAATTTTAACATGTGGCTACAAACATCGATTCTTGACCAACTACTTTTGAAAGTTGCGTGGGTGACTTGAGGATTTTGTTTTGATATTAAAAGGACTTCCGCATGTGAGCATTTTGCTAGGTCTTCCAAGAGCAAAGAGCCTTGTCATTGCATCTGTTCATTTTGATGAACGTCAAAACCTTCATCTATCTTTAAACTGAAAGGTAGTCATCTATCATTCCATTGTCGCCCAGTACTAACAAAAGAAAATTGCTATATGTGTATGTTCCTGCTTTATTGATAAATTACAGTATGATTCATTCAAGGTTAAAGTTCACCCAATCACAGAGGTGATTCCTCCAGCCAGCATTTTTCAGAAACTTGGATGAAAATCAAATAATTAATCACTTGATGCCTAATGTGAACTTGGCTACAAATGTGCTTGTAAATCTGGATGTAAATATATTGAGTGATATATTGAAGTCTACTGTAAGTTTGGATTAATATGGAATAATTTATTGATAGCTATGGCGAATTTGTGATAACACAGACTGTAGTAATATTAACATTTTTAACAATATCACAAGGCACACCATTGATACATGGGTGTTGAGTTATCATTAAATAAGAACACTTTTTTCAGCAGTTTCAGGAAATTCATTGTGACCTCAATAGTATAAAGGTCAACTTTTGTTGACAAATTTCACTATATCTCCAAACTTCTCTTTAAGCAAGAAGTTATATAATGTTATATGTAAAGTTGTATGACATGTTGTACTTGTTTCTTCTGGTAGTGTAACATGTAGATGTGAAGGTATCCGGTAGTGTAAATCATGTTCCTTGATACAGGAGGCAGATTTTGTGACATTGTCACACTTCTATTGCAATAAACAGGTGGTATTATTTTGCAGCTGAAATGTACATAGCATCAGTCATTGCGTGGGATGGTGTGTCAGATTAAACTTGTCACCTTGTTTTCTTGAGGGAGAGTCTGTGTTTTTTTCATCCGATACCATGTGTTTGTACATTGTCACTAATTGGTTGATATTTTCTTTCAAAATGATATTTTCTTGAGATCTACTTTTGTTGATATGTTTTGGAAATTGTTTTTCTCCGTGACATATGAATTGATAAAGTCACAGAAATGTTTGAATATTTGTAACTTATTTTTATTGGTATTAGTAATGTTTTTGGTATTTGCCATTTTTTATGAAATCTGAATGAGATACTTATTCACCATGTCAATGGTGGTTTGATTAAGGAATGATAGGGTCTATGTACAAAACACTGAAAATTGTCATTAGAACTGTTATAATACTTAATACTTTTGTATAGGTTATCATTATTATTTACATGGTAATGTCTTTGTATCGAATTGTCTGAATCCCCCCTATTATAGATATGAATTTGTCCCATTAAGTGATTCGTTAGATAAGATTAGTTAGATTTGAATATGTTTCAGGGCTGGAAATAACTTTAAAATTGCTAGTGTACTCCGGTACAGTGGCACAAGTAAAATCACTTGCCCTGATAACTTTTCCACTATACTGGCCGATTTTCTTGTTGATTTTTTAAAATAAACAACATAATTAACATTGGAAAGTCAACTGGACACCGGTATCGTGTGATATACAAATTTGCTTGCCCGACAGAAAATAACACTGGACTCGAGCATCGGGCAATGGGTTATTTCCACCCTGTGTTTGTGAATGGTTTGTTACCAATGTATATTGATGGTATTCATCATGCTAAATTATCTTGCTGTTTAACTAACTGTTCCTATGTTTTGTGACCTGCCTAGGTTGGTATTAAGTACCCTCTGGTATTGGGTTCAGTGCTTGGTATTTCATCAGTATCAGAATGTGTATTTGGAGGGAACCATTTGGCCACAAGTTCATATACACCTAAAGTAAGAATGGTTACAGACACCTGACATAAAGTTTCCATACTACCAGAAGTGCATGCAGTATATTGACACATCCTCTTCAGTCTCATGTTGCATGTTTGCAATCCAGACCAACAGAACATGGTGTCTGTACTTGCAGAACATTACAGGCCAATCAGAAATTGTAGTTAAACTTGAATGGCTTAAAAAGACCCTCATGTGTGTAGAGCTTGTGTTAGAACATGTTGACAGTGAAACACAAAGTATCATTCCCATTTTCCAAGTTGATCAGCATATTTATCTAACTGTCATTTCACATTTTAGAATTTACAATAATTTTTGCATTAATGCATGTTTTAATATTAAACGTAATGTGAATGCTTTGTGTAACATAAGATGCCCATTATCAGCCAATCAGGAAACAGTGGAGGGAATATTTGAATTTGCTTTTTTGCAAAAATAACAATAGCTTGATTAGCCAAAAACTCTCACTTATTTAAGGGTAGTTATACATTCTGACCAGACTCACCAAGGTCAAGCGGGAATTACTGAGGACAGTTCCCCCATATACTTGTACCTGTTAAACCCTCACTCACCACTTCTACATCATGATCTGGTTCAATCAAAGCATGGAGAAGAAGCATGGAGATGTTATGGTGTTTAACACCACCCTGAGTGTCATTAAAGAAATGGGTAAAGGTATATGTGAGGTCGTTCAACCTCATTAAGATCAGATCTCTATTTCGGTACTTGTCTTCATAAAGAGAGGATCGTATCAGATTAAAAACTGATTTAAAAGAGATAGAAAAGTGGGGATTGCAAAATTGTATTGGTTAAAGACTCTGGTTTATTTTCTTTCTTGGGAATGCAAGATGTTTGACCTAAAAGGTTTTTTGATTGAACCAGGCTATGCTGGCCTGCTGCTGACAAGTTCAATTGGAGTAGATCTTGTGTCCTTCTTCCTAGCATTTTGATAATATTTGGGATGTGAAACATATTAGCACTTAGCCTCAGATGAGACAATGACATACATTATGATGCATGTCAGATCTTAGTTCCTGCTACCTTTTGTTTTTCAGTATCAAGAACTAAGATCACACAATAATGAGATTGAATTGATGTCCCAGTGAAACATGTATTACGGGTAGGAACTAAATGTACGTATATATATCACCATTTTGACTTGTATGATGATACATTGTAAAACAAGTACAGAATTGTGACGTATATGTATGACAGATCATCATTTACTGTGAACTTAGATCTGGCATTTGCCAAAAATCATTTTTGGATTTTTCTTTGATGTGTTTGTCAAGTTTCCCTATCTAACTGCATACACATTGGACAGGAGACAATTCAACTCTTTGTTGCAGTTTTTCTAACTTCACATGTAAATGTGTCTTGATCTGGAGATATGTCTCTGTATTTCTCATATGTCCATGGGGCAAATGTTTCCTCTGATTGAGAGATTAGACATTTATTTCCCCCACAAGGCCTCTCTATCTGCCTTGTTTGTGGTACTGGTATTCCAGTGATCAAAGGCTAGTAAGAGTTGTGTCCCTTTCACCATCCAAGGATTGCTGATTCTGGGTTTGAATCCACATTAATGCTTCTCGGTACAAACTCAAGGGTTTATATCACATACCACCACTAATAATGAAATTATTATACTCGCTGTTCCATTATAAGTTGTATGCTTCTCTCGAGGGTAATACGGTCTGATGTACGCCTCTTTGTAGCAGTGTTACCCGAGCTATATGACATGTAAACAAAATGGCGCCTGCCTCTCGACTGGAATATTAAAATCAGTGAAACATATTCTGACAAGCTTAAAACTGCAATAAAACTGGTTAATTATGTTTAAATTGAGTGTGCAAACGATTCAATGTATAAAATAGTTTAAACAAGGCAGTGAAAGTCGGTAAAATAAATCTGTACATTGTACACTCAAAAACAGCTAATCGAACGGCTTTCGAACTCCGGACATTGCATGCGTCATATTATGACGTCATACGATTGTTAGCGATACAGCTTCTCGGCGGAGAGTTTGGCGGTTACCGTGGCGGCGGGTAATATTTTTTCCAGTTGTCACCCTCCTGGGAGGGGTGACACGGAAACTTGTTAAAGCGTCATTGACCAATGAAATTAAAGTATTTTACATGAAGGTAAGATAATGCTTTGTGGATTTGTTATTGTGTACCCTTGGTGTTTGGTTTTTGCAGATACTCATTGACTTTTGGCTCACACAGAATTGTATTTCTGTGATGGGATGTCTGTCAGACTTGTCTACTTGGTATACTGTATCGTCCTACCCAACAAACAACTAGATAACCAGAATTGTACCGAATGCTTTGATGCATGGGTGCTCATAAAATTGTCTTTCTTGCAAATGTTTGTCGTTCATACTGAGAATAAATCAGGAAATGAGCAATACATGTTTAGATATGTTGTCCTGGCACAATCTATTCATGTGTAGTACTAGTTGTTCCTGTGGCTGATTTGGTCAGAAAGTGTATGTAAGAATTCCTCAGTCAATGTTGATTCTGTTTTCATGGATTTTTTGTCCATTATACACATCCAACAAATGCCATGTATACTATGATGTAAATATGCACGATATTTGTACAAACTGTATGCAAACCCATTGTACATATGTATAAAGATTGTCAGGCACCTCAAGAATTGTATAGTTACCTTCTGAGAGTGATATTGAATTGTGATGGCTAATTTTATTTGTAGCTCAGAGTTTCTGTTATAATTTTGTGAAATTAAAGAGCTGGATAGCTACTGTTTAGTACGCTTCCCAGCTAGATATACTTTCATTAGTGTATGAATTTGATGAATTTATTATTGCTTTTTTGATGATGTTGTCATTATAACGTTTTATCTGTCATTTATAAAGAAACAACAGGGAAAGTTCTAAGGATATACAGCTTCTTTATTAACAACGTTTTGGTGCAGATGCTAATATGTTATCAAGCAACTTCTAAATGAGACTCTAAGAAATTATTTTTGTCATTGATAATTTTTTGACGATTTGGATTTTCCATAATTCCTTACATGTATAGAACTATAACATAAGGAAACATTCCACCTAAATGAGTCATTAGTATACGAGGGCTTAACGGAGTTTGAGATGCATTGGTAAAGGGAGGTAACTCCTACATGCCATGGGGATATTTAAGATTTACTAGTAATAGTTCCCCCAGCTGCTGTGATAAAACTGAAGTACATGTATAATCTAAGAGGTGTCCCCATTAACAGATGTTTGTCCCAAGAGGCAGCTGACTGGATCTGGTGGTCAGATTCATTGACTTGATTGATGCATCTTCGTATCATATCTGCATGGATTGATATTGATGTTGATCACAGGACTGTCTGGTCCAGACTATTTACAGACTGTTGTCATTCTGCTGGACTATTGCTGAGCGTGGTATTAAATAACAAGGACCACTTTCTGTACAAGTATTTTGGGTAAGGTAGTAGCAGGGCAGTCCGTGAGTAAATGATAACAGTACAAATATGTTGATTGGTCGGCTTGTGTGTTTTTCTTTCATTCGATGTACCTTCATTTTATTACCAATTGTGGCTTCCTTACCGTATGTACACAACTGTAGCAAAACGTACTTCGCTGAAAGTTCAGTGCAAAGTGTTCAGACTTTTTTAACAGATTTGCTTCACATCAACTGTCGCTAAATTGCCCTATTGTTTCTTTCATTATGTGGCATTTTGCTGTGTTCTTATGGTTTCCAGGAATTGGATGAGATGAATAAGATCAGAAATAAATATTCAACAGAAACTTTTGTCAGCTGTGTCATTTCAACCTGTCAGGAAAACCATTGTAAGGTATAAAATATGAGTGAGTTGATGAATGTTTTATAAAGCTTCAGCTACCTGGAAGCTATACATTGCCAGCCTGTAAATACCGACTCGAAGTCAGGACCATGCAAACCAGTGGCTTGAAATGTGAGCATCCAAGTGAGTCTGACAACCACATTCAATTTTGTCAGGTTCGACAACCACACTCAATATTGACAGGTTTCGGAGAGTTTGGGACAAAGTTTTACCTCAGTCCCCATCGGGTTCAAGAAAATTT